CATCAGCGTCTGAGTGTTATTTATACTCTGTGAGAGCAAAAACCGCCAGAAGCATCTCTTGCCTGCAGACACTGACAGGAACTGAACTTCGGTTGATGGCACACCACAGTTCACCTACTGAGGTTGAAGTAGCATGTTTCTACACTGCAGAGCGTGAAGGAGGACAGTATCAGTCTGTGCACAGTAACACATCCTCCATCAGAATACAGAGTAAGTGAACACACAAACATGCTCTTAATTATATTTTCATACAGCATCTGAATGTACAGTATATTGGAAACCAACAATGGGGAAGAAAAACTGAAATAAATATTGCTGCAATGAGGGGGTCAAATAGTTTATCAGAGCACAGTCGCCATGGCAACTTGATCTGATCAGGATCAAGTTTTAGGATCTGTAAGCTAGAACAATTGCGGATGAGCAGGTATCAGTACCAGCTCAATATGTTCATATCTGACAATTAAAAAAAAATAAAAATATGGGCGGCATCATAGATTGTCACGTTCAATCTTTGGGATTAATATCACGTCGCAACCTTTCTTATAACGACAACACATCAAAGGATGTTAGAACAAAAAATGTTTCTGCCTTTGGCTGTGCTCTCCTGTTGAGAGAGCTGTTGAGATATGACCTCATTTCCTGTTTAGGCAAGGCAAGTTTATTTGTATCGCACAATTCGTACCCGAGGTAATTCAAAGTGCTTCACACAAAAGTAGAAGACAGATAAAATCAGTCCACAGAACATAAACACAATTATTAATTAATTACATTAAAAGCAAAGAGGCAGATAAAATCAATCCATAAAAACATAAATATAATCCTTAATTAGAAGAGTACAGATAGAATACTTTCAGCTGTCATATGCACAACTAAATAGGACTGTTTTCAGTCTGGATTTCAACATTGTCAGAGTTGAGGTCTGTCTCACATCTTCTGAAATCTAGTTCCAGATTTTATCTGCATGAAACTGGAACACAGCCTCACCGTGTTTGGTCCTGACCCTGGGCACCAGCAGGAGACCCTCCCTGAGGTTCTCAGAGCTCAACATGGTTCAGACGACACTAACATGTCAGAGATATACTTTAGTGCTGGACCATGAAGAGACTTGTAGACAAGCAAAGCTATTTTAAAGTCAATTCTCTGAGCGACAGGAAGCCAGTGCAGAGACTTGAGCACTGGACTAATATGGTCGTACTTCCTGGTTCTAGTCAGAACTCAAGCAGCAGCGTTCTGGATAAACTGCAGCCGTCTTACATCTCGTTTAGAGAGGCCAGTGAGCAGCCGTTACAATAGTCTAACCTGCTGGAGACAAACGCATGGATTAGTCTCTCTCAGTCTGGCTTAGGCAATATACCTTTGATTTTGATGTTTTTTAAATGATAAAAAGCTGCTGATGTTATTGTCTTCATGTGGCTGTTAAAGCTCAGGTCTGAGTCCATTAATACCCCAAGATTTCTAACCTGACTTTTAGATTTTAGAGCAAGGGTCTCAAAGTGACTGATGACACTTTCTCTTTGTTTCTGTGGACCAATGACTATGATTTCAGATTTGTCTGAGTTTAGCTGGAGGAAGTTGTTTTGCATCCACACACTGATCCGTTCAATGCAGCGACAGAGTGAATCTACAGGCCCACGTTCACCTGCTGTCAGTGACACATAGATCTGAGTGTCATCTGCATAACTGTGGTAGGACACATTATTGCTGCGTATCAGCTGACCTAATGGAGGCATGTAGAGCTTGAACAAGAGGGGTCCCAGGATTGACCCCTGAGGAACCCCACAGGCCACAGCCATTCGGTCTGAGACACATTTACCAATCTCAACAAAGTATGTCCTGTCCTCAAAATAGGACTTAAACCAGTCTAGAGCAGTACCAGAGACTCCCAGGTTTAGAAGGTTTGCAGGTGATTACAATTTGCTGTAACTGACAAATGGTGTTAAAAAAAATAAAAAATAAAAAATAATCCACTTGATAACTTTTGTGAGGCCTGTAAGGGCTAAACATCATCTGGACTGATTTTGGTGATGCATTTGAAAACCCTCTGATATGTCTCAGACCTTGGAACTCAGTGGGAAACACAAGAAATGTTTCTTCAAGGCAAACACATCAACAGTTAATTGGAAAAATGCATTTTTTTCTTATTATAGTGCTTCCAAATGATCAAATGTCACAATGTGTTGTGCTTCCTTGTTTGTTTTGTTATTGTAGAAATGGAGTCCACTACGACCCAGATGACGCCAACTTCAATGACGACCACAGGTCCGACATTCATCTACACAAAAATCCATAACATTATTGAATACCAGAGACTGATACTTTCACATTCTCTCTAAATCCACCAGGTCTGGCTGCCAGTGTGTCAGCTGACCCTGTTGGTTCACTTTCTACTTCTGTAACATCAGTGAAACCAGCCACAGGTCACCCAGTTTCTTAGTTTTCTAATGAGTCACCGTCATACGTAGCACATCTCATACTAACAGCCTTTGTTTGCTTTTCTGTTGTTCTAAAGAAACAGTGTCTAAAGTGACTACTGAAGCTACTACAGACACTTTGACTTCGACTTTGCTTCCTGTGACACAAACGAACTCCTCTCCAGGTGGGCAAAGTGTCTTTACTGCATATTATCAGTATAAATGATTGTTTACACAATTCATTTACTGACAAGTCACACTCATATTGTAGCACATCTTAAAATGACAGCCTTTTGTGTGCTTTTCTGTCTTAAAGAAACTGTTTCTAAAGTGACTAAAACAGCTAATACAGACACTTTGACTTCGATTATGCTTCCTGTGACACAAACGAACTCATCTCCAGGTGAGCAAAATGTTTTTACTGCATATTATCATAGCACAGCATACAATGGTGTTATTATATGTCTGACATTATACCTGTTTGACAACACTCCCGGCGATTAAGTCGTGTATTGTTTAATTGTTTGCAATTAGGCCACTCATTGAACATAATTACAAATGCTAACATGCTCTTAACTCACTCGGCGATCTGTTATAACTGTCTTTACTGCGTGACACAGGTTGTAATATGTGTATCTGGGATGTGGGAGTGATGCTGTGCAGTAAATGTCTTCTTTGTTTTGTGTTTTGAAACTGCAGGAAGTGAGACTGACACTTGTTTGTGGTCTTTGTTTTCTCCAGAACTGCAGAAGTGGATGTTCATAGCTTTGCCTGGTTTTGGTGTGACTGTGGGAATCATCGTACTGGGAGTGACAGTAGTCTGTTACAAAACAAGAAGTGGTGAGGACCGTAATGATGCATGTGTCCTGTGAAGTGCTTCTCTACGCCGGTGCACACACTTAAAGTACAGGAATACTGCAGCTTTTACACCCTTCAAACCTTCTCTGTCCTTAAACCTCTTCCCCATCAGCTGCTCTGCACCAAGACGAGCTAACTACTGCTGCACATATGTCAACACAATGTGTAGCATAACACACAGGGGAAATAAATAATTCTACATTATTACACCTGTTGTAATTTAACTGTAATTGACATATCCATTTGGTTTTAATTTTCTGTCTGTGGAATTATTTGTAGTCTCAATCTGTGATTTATTTATTTTTTTTTTTTTTTTAACTGAAAAACGCAGCTGCTAATTGGGCAATTTAGTTTGACCACACAGTTCCTTCTGGTTTGGATTGCAATAACTGTTACAGCCGCTGAAGATGCTCCACATGACAACGCTTTAGCGATCATGACTTGCTGATTTCAGTGGTTAATGGCTGCACCTTTTAATTCTTTTTATTTTTGTGGGATTTTTCAGAAAAAAAATTTCGCAAGAGGTAAGAGATGTTTTTTGTTTGTTTGTTTGCTTGGTCACTCAAATTATAATTGTATAACAAAGACACTTGCTACATCGTTCTTCCCTCTTATTCCCACTTAGATCACAAGTCAACATGTCTGGTAATGTACACATTTAATAACCAGGAAACGTGACACTAATCTTCCTACATATATAGTATGTATTGTACTCATACTTGTCGTACTGAGTTTTATTTTCTCTGCTGTTGTAGACGACTTTATGAGCATGACTAATATTGACTGTGGAGAACAGGTAACTTTAAAACAAAACAAAAAAAAATTCCAGATGCAACATTCACACAGTCGAAAGTCATCCAGTATCTACGTTGCAACATTCCTCAGGGTACATTTAGGTTTTTAAAGTCATTTATAAAAACACCTTTGCTCTGCTTCTTCTCTTCTCTGATCAAACAAGTTACCTGCAGGTACTGAAGCTTACAGCATGATCAACTTTGTCCCTGCTGCTGAACGACGTACTGGTGAGCTGCTGCTTTTTTTAAAATTACCCATAAGAAGGTTGCAGTTCCTGTTGAAATGAGATCATGTGCAGTATGAGCTGTTTGCAAAGTGACTTACTTTCATATTTACATAACTGTGTCATTTATTGAGAAAAAATCCAATAATAGTGTTGCTTTCTTTCCTGACATTCCAATATTTTTTTTAAAATCATTTTAGCGCATTAACACCAGACCTTGTGTAAAAAAAAAGTCTGTTTTTTTTCATACAGTCAAATGATGTATTAAAAACGGCAACCCGATGGAAGTTTTTCACCTTAGTGTCTGATTCTCTCTTACTTGCAGAGCTACCGACAAGACAAGCTTCTCGAAATGAGAACGTAAGTGAGACACAAGTGGCAGCATTGAATAAGCTTATTATGCAGATGCTACACATTTAAAGAGCTCTTGCTGTCTTTCTTTCTCCAGTCTGATGTATACCACGTGTACGCCACCATCCCCGACGATCCACCTGCAACGACCCTGATGAACACGACTTACAGCACAATCCAGGCCCATTGAGACACAAAAGTCGATCGACCTTAACAACTATCACAAGCTTAAACCATAAGGCTGAAACTGTTTTATTAAAACATAAAGTATTTAGTGAGAATATCACCTGGATGATATTTCTATCTCAACGTGACAATGAAACGCTGATGTGAAAATACCTGCAAGTTGTTTAGTTCCAATGAAATATGATTCATTTTAATTCAATTTTATTTTTATAGCGCATATTTACAACAACAAGTCATCTCATAGCGACTAACAAAGGCAGAAACACCCAACAATCCAAAACATTTGGATTCTCTATAAGCTTCAGCAGTCTGCAACAGTGGGAAGGAACTGAAAACCCCCACAGGGGAAACAAAACCTCCGACAGAACCAGGCTGAGGGAGGGACGGCCATCTGCCTCGACCGGTCGGGTGGATGTAGGATGAATTATGCAATTTAGTGTACAGTTAAACAAGTTATTAGAGGTTATTGTCCTTTTGTTCCTCCATTTCAAATGGACCAATGAAATATTCTATTTCATAGTTGGTGGAGGTAACAGGAGGCATCATGGTGGGGCAACAGGATGCAGAAGGTGAGGCCAGCAGCTGTAGTTCAGGAGCTCCAGATCCAGAGACATCCACCGAGAGAGCAGGCGCAGGATACTGGACTACATCTAACAAGCTGTTTCACTTTTGAAACAAAGACATAGATAGTGTATTTAAGGGTTATGTTAGCAAAAACTAAAGCACATGGCGAAGGTCTTGAGTGTAGATTGTAGACTTGCATTAAAAAAAGTAAAATCTTGACTTCCTTCATTAAGCAGGAGACTCTAAATAACTACATTTCCTAACTTATTTCAGGAAGATGTAGATCACAAACCGATGTCGGCCCTGAGGGTTTTGCCAAGACATCCACTTGAATCCCCTCAATGTGGCTTTTGTGCAGTTTGGATATAAACATTTTTTAACAATGGAATAAGTGTTGCCATGAGCATTGTCCTGGCAGCAAATGTATTTTCTTGAGTAGCTTTGAACAACTGTGCTGCCCTCTGCTGACAGAGTTCGGGAACACAGCTACATGGTGCCTGCATGTTCAGACCTCACTGGATGTTTGCCTTGGACAAGAATCATCCCTACGTGTTTATTCTATGTTTTGTAATATATTAGATGTCATGTATTAGTTATTAGAATTACACCTTTGTGTTGACAGGTTTTGTAACGTAACTTTATTTTCTCTGTCGTTTTTCTGTGTAGTTTCACAAGAATGAAAAGGAAAAGCTAATTAATGGAAGAAAATGTAAGCTAAGTGAGGGCAGTATAACAACCACAGCTTCCTTTCTTCTATTTTTGTACTGTTTATTAATTTATACATAGATTGTACATAAACCTATTACAGATAATGTAAAAAGTAAAAAGTGTCCTTCCTGCTGGAGTTCCCTTCATCCAACACACAGACAAAAAGAATGAAAAGGAAAATAAATACTAAAAACACTGAATGTTATTTAGCCAGAAACTAGAAATCAGTGTCAGAGTTTCTGCTGAAGAGGGAGCCACCTGCTTTCTTTTTGTCTCCATTAATCTGTGTGACGCCACG